GTGTGTGAAGAAGCCCAGAGCAACTAAGGACTCTCTGGTGGCCTCTGTATTTACACCCTGACTATTGGAAGTGGGGCTTTCAGCTTATGGTACCTCCTTTCCTGTTTGCCCAGGAGATTTTCCACTTCAGAGATGGGTCAAGTTCAAAATTTTGGCTATTCAGATGTTTGTAGAAATGGTTGGATTGCTTAATTTGCTGAGTAATTGGAAAATGTGTGTCTGTGTTGAAAAATATAATAGAAAAAAGTGATCCTTTTGCAGATGGGTGGCATTTTAATTTTGAGTGTTCTAGGCTCTGGAGAAGCTAGTGTCAGTGATGACAAAATTTCTAGCTGATAGCTCTGGGTCCAAGAGTTCTGTTCCCTTTAACTCATCATAACTAAGTTGTTTCCACTTTTCTCGTTCTGAAGGGTACAGAGTCTGCACATTGCTCTACATTCTCATGTGGTTTAATTTGTATAGGTCTGGAGGGAGAGCGACCTGCAAGACTCACACGAGGGGAAGCTGACAGAGACACCTACAGACGAAGTGCTGTGCCCCGTGAGTGATGCATCCTCTCTGTCGGGGCATTGGGGAAGAGTCCTTGGATTCTTGGGCACCCTGGCTGGGGCTCAGCCCTTGAAAGTGCCAAGGTGACCAGGAAAGATTCTTGGTCTCAATCTTCAGGTCCTTTTTAGCTGGAGTCCTTTAGGTTTCTTGCCTTGTTGCAGGGGTTTGATGGGTGGGTTAGGACAAAAGCCTGCTTCATTGGGGATATAGACAAGTTCTGTTGAAGACCTCTAACTAGAGCAAAATTGAAAACTTTCAAGAAAGCAACATGCTTTTCTTAGTTTTGTAGTTGTGTTCCTGTGTCACAGACTCTTGAGGGCGCCCACTTAAGTTATCCCTGTTGTTTTCTTTAAAAATCGTTTTAAACAAAAAAATTTTCGTTTTTGAACAGCAGGTGTTTGCGTTGACTTGGAATAACAGGTGTTTGTTCATTCAGATAATGTATATATGTTGAGTGTCTGACTTGCCAGGCTCTGTTCTGGGAGCCAAAGACAGTGTGCATAACAGACAAAAGACCTTTCTCATTGAAATTGCGTTTTAGTAGTAGGAAACTAGTAAGCAGAAAGGACTGTCTAGATGTCCATGGCATGGGTGCTGCAGGGAAAAATTCAAGCAGGGGGATCAATGGTGCAGTTTTCAGGGAAAGCTGCAGAAGTACGATTTAATAAGCAAACACCTGAAGGAAGGAGTCAGCCATTGGCTCCCTGGGGGATGACCACGAAGGCACATGGCTTTCTGAACCAGAAGGCAGCCGGAGAGTCATATGAGGATGTAGGTCTCAGCTCTGTGGGCCATGGTAGGGCTTGGGATTTATTTTATTTATTTTTTAAAGGATTTTATTTATTTGTCAGAGTGCACAGGCAGGGGGAGCAGCAGGCAGAGGGGGATGTAGACTCCCTGCTGAGCAGGGAGCCTGATGTGGGACTCCATTCCAGGATCCCGGGATCAAGACCTGAGCCAAAGGTGGACACTTAACTGACTCAGCCACCCTGAGTGACTTAACCATCTCAGGGCTTGGGACTTTTTTTTTTAATAGTCCGTATCTTTGTTGAGAGGCAGTTGATGGTGATAATGAAAGCAGAGTATGAAGGGGAACGTTCCTTTTTTTTTTTTTTTTTTTTTTTTTAAGATTTTATTTATTTATTTGACAGATCACAAGTAGGCAGAGAGAGGTGGCGGGGGCAGGCTCCCTTCTGAGCAAAGAGCCCAATGCAGGGCTTGATCCTAGGACCCTGGGGATCATGACCTGAGTGGAAGGCAGAGGCTTTAACCCACTGAGCCACCCAGGCGCCCCATGAAGGGGAATTTTCATTAACTTCTTTACTCTTGCCTGTCTCTGGTCATGGCTGCTAATTGTTGAAACATGAAATAGAAGTGATCACTTGACTTGAGTATGTTACTGAATAGTAAGAATTTTTCCAACAAACAGGCTCTCAGTTCAGAGGAAGTTAATGGTTGCTCCTACTAGAAGTCACACCACATGGGCAATCAGTCAGGGAGTAGTTCTCCAGAGGATACGAGGGGTTCGGCCTGAGCCTCATGGGTCTCCAAGTTGAGGTGGGGTGAGAGCAGCCCGAACAAAAGTAGAGTTGGGGACATGGTAGCTTGGGCGGCAGGGAAATGAGGGTCAAGAACCTAATGATGGATGTGGTCTGAAATGGGCCAACGAGAGACCCAATTGAGATATTAGTGAGACTACGCCCCCTGATGGTGCTGTCCCCATCCACACCCCTCGTGAACCATAACATTTCCTAGTGGCCACACCTAAGACAAGTGGAAAGTAGTTTACAGCAATAATTTTTTAAATCCAGTATGGTTTATTATATTTTTTTTAAGATTTTAAATGATATACACCTAACATGGGACTCAAACCTACAACCCCAAGATGAAGAGTTGCATGCTCTACCAGCTGAGCCAGCCAGGCACCCTAAATGCAGTATATTTTAAAATGTTATTTTAACATGTAATCTGTATAAACGTTAGCGAGATGTTTTGCATTCTCTTAAATCTTGACTACTTACATGTACGTTGCACACACCTCAGTTTGGACTAGTGGCCGCCGTACAGATCAGGGCAGTACTGGATCTTTCATCTTGTTTATTATCATGGTCATGCTGCTGGTTGGTTTTGCTTTTGTGGGCCTTTGTGTCCTTTATCTCTTCTGTAAGCTAGATGCCAGTCTGAAGCATGTAAGTAACTTGGTGGGAAACGAGGGTCGTCTTTGGACATAGAGAGGGGCACATACCCCAGGCTTTGTGGTCTGGGCAGCCTTCCTGGAAGTGACAATTTGGGCTGTGAGTTTGGAAGGATGATTTAAGGAAAGCTGCCCCAGGAGAGGGAGGGGGCAGAAGCGGTTCACAGGGTGTTCCCACCACTCGGTGTTACTTACTTGTACTTCCCGGGGTACATTTGTGGACATGGCTTCTCCTGCAGAATCAGCCTGGAGACCTGTCTTCCCTTGGTCTGTAACAGATCATAACATAAGATGACTCTGAATTGGTGTTTCTCCTTCCAGCTGGTGCCGACAAGAAAGCCGAGGCCGGGGCTGGGTCAGCAACTGAGTTCCAGTTCGTGAGTATCCCTGTTGGCTCTCCCTAGACGTCATTGTTCTGGCCTGGCCCTGGGGGCCTGCAAGTTCTAGGGATCCTATGCAGTGTGGTGGGTCCACCCCTTGCTACAGTGGATTCCCCCCCCCAAAAAATAACATGAATTCTGAGTTTTTACATGAAGATATAGTATATAAACTTTTGTAAATAGATATATTACTGAAATGAGTCTCCCAGATCAGTACTACATGTGGCATAGGGGTTGGTTTCTTCATTAGTGAGCATCATAATTGTGACTCCCTTATTTTCATGAATTAGTAAGACTTAGGGTTAAGAACTCTAGACTAGAGATTGAGTGAGTTCTAGAACCAAGATGGCTGGGGTCAGGGTCTTCATCTTCTTCAGATGATGTGATATTGGATACATCCCTGCTGTGCTTCTGTTTTCCTCATCCTTAAAATAGGTGTTCCGATTGTAGTTGTGTTAGGTGCTTGTGCGATTAGGAGGAGTGCCCGGCACAGGGGTGGGTGTAGCCCTATTGGAGCGACAGCTGTCCTGTGGCAGGTCATCATGGCACAACTGTTCTCTGTGGCCTTGTTTGTGGGAAGGTGGTGTGTGTGGCAGGCACAAGATCTTGTCCTGTGCTGAGGGTGTGTGTGTGTGTGTATGTAAACACACCCTTGAGTGGGTATCCATATTTCCATTTTACAGATGTGGAAACCGGCCTGGGTGGTGAATGTGGCCTCATAGTAAGAGGCAGGGCTGAATTTATGGCCTGAACTCTTGAGCGTTACGTTTGGGGCCCTGTCCTGTGATAACGAGGCCTGCTGCTCAGCCTGCTACTAATGCTCATGCCGTCTGTTTTCTCTTGCAGAGAGGCGGATTTGGTCGTGGACGTGGTCAGCCACCTCAGTAAAGTTGGAGATTGTTTTGTGTTGAATAAATTTGTAGCCAGAAAAAAATTAATCTCGTTGTGTCCTATTGGTTTGCATTATGTGGCCTGAACAGGAATGATAGAAGGATTACAATGTAAATGGGGCAAGACTGGACTGGGGTAAGGGGTCATCCCCATGCAGGGTGGCATCACATGTGGCTGTTTAGGGATGCAGTTTTGGCCCTGTGTTCCAGGACATGCTGTCCCATGGAGTGATGTCCAGTGTGGTTGTTGTTCGGGGACTAGTTGGAGAGCGGGGCATCTTCTCTAGGTGGCCCCTGCTGGTGCAGCTCTGCAATGAGGACGTGTTGCTGCTCTGTTAACCCCAGAATTTAGTCTCAACTTTCAAGGCTTAAGGTTTATATGAATGGAAGGAGAAAACAGAGTTAAAATTGCACAAACACCTGAAAGGAACTGCCAGCCATAGGAAGAACCCATGGGAGTTTTTGTTTTTACATAATCACAATAGCTGGTTGGAACTCTTGCCATCCCAGGTTTCTTTATTTATTTATTTTAAAGATTTTATTTATTCATTTAAAAGTGCACAAGCAGAGGGAGAGGGAGAAGCAGACTCCCTGCTGAGCTGGCAGCCCAAGATGGGGCTCTATCCTAGGACCTGGAGATCGTGACCTGAGCCAAAGGCAGATGCTAACCATCAACCACCAGGTGCCCCAGCCCAGGGCTCCTTTAAAAGGAGGAAACACTTGTCCAGTGTCCTGGAGCCTTTTTAAGTGGTGGCCCTCCCTACATGTGATGGGAGTAAATGGATTAGAGTGGTGACATTCCCCAGTGGGGCCAAGTGCCATCTTGGTAAAGATACCAAGGGACCTTGTTGGTGCCATGAAGGTGCAGCCAGTGAGAAGTTCAGGGGCATAATCCTGCAGAGGTTTGCTGGGTCAAATACTGGCTTTGGCTTACAGATGGAACCATGACTGGTGATGGTTGCAGGAAGTACCCGGGACGGGGTCAAACAAAGGCTTTGAGGCAGCGGCTTCGGGCCAACAACTCAGGATGTGTCTGCCAAGGTGAGTTCAGTGAAACTGGTAACTAGTGGATCTTAAGGGTGTGTGTGTGGGGGGGGCTTGGGAGTCCTGTTTATTCAATACTACAGGCCAAGCATTGTGCAGAGATGGACAGTTAGCCAAGTGAGATTCGTAGCATTTGGGAACAGGTGGTTTTGTGCTGGTAGCAGCCACCTGTTTGTCTCGGTAGGCAGCTGTAATATGGACCACAAGGTGGCAGCCGACAGCAACTCCAAATGAGGACTTAAAAGATTAGTTTTGAGAGATGAGCTTTGTATTCTGAGCCACCAATAAGTAGAAGCTTGCTTTGGCAGAAAGAGGTGGTGTTTGGGGAAGCTGTTTCATTGCGGCCTTGGCTGCCTTGCCAAAGATTGCTTTTTATCCAATTTTTCTGCTGGCTCAAGTGATGTCAAGTGGTTTGCCTGTGTTCACACGCCTTGTGATTGTTTAACCTGGATTCCACTGTGAAATGTTAGTAGCTCCCGGCCTTTCTGTTTCCCACCAAAGCCAGCGAGCAAGCAGATGGGTTTCCTCTATAACCTTGCTGATTTTCTGGCCCTTAAATGTCACTTTTTCAGCTAGGGCTCCTTGCCAACTCCTTTCCTCATGACTTAAATTAGTTCCAGGATGTATTCTCCAAGATCACCCAAGGACTCTGGGAAAACCCAAGGAATATACAAGGTAGAATTGTAGCCTGTGGACAAAAAAGCCAACAGAGGCGGCTCTTCTGCTGCTGGCCAGCCCCCTCCCGCTACGTTGGTAGATTGAATACCACTGCCAATCAATAATCATTGATTAGCTGTTCAGGGATCAGTACTAATAAGTGCTCTGGGAAATGGAAGCCTCAAGATTTGCCTTAAAAGACTTCACAGTCTCCTTAAGGAAAACCCAAAGCTAAACACTGAAAGTCTATATGCCATGGGCACCTGGCTGGCTCAGCCTGTAGAGCATGTGACTCTTGATTTTGGGGTTGTGAGTTCAAGCCCCATGTTGGGCATAGAGTTTAATTTTTAAAAGTGTATGCCAGCTACTGTTAAGTGGTAAATGATTATGTCCAGAGTGAATTCTACGTGCAGGGTGGAAGGGATGAATGACCGCTGCTGACCCAGAGTAGGGTTTGTGGAGCAGGGTGAGACTAGGCCGGCACCTTGAAGATGCTTTCCATTCTTCATAGGAAAACCAAAATGTCAGATGGTGTCAGGAAACTCTCGTCAAAAATTAAGGGTTTTTTTTGGGAGGGGGGCAAAAACGGATGTTGACTATTACAAATGCCTAGGATGATCACCTGTACGGCTGGTTAGAAGGGGCAGGGAGAGGCCTCCTGGAGCACAGCCTGCAGTGGGTGCAAGTTTTGGGGTAGTCTGGTTCATCTTCCAGGGTCTGTTTGCATCACAGCTTTGCATCTCTCCACCAGCCCGGAAGCTCACTAGTTAAACCCCACTACCACTACTACCACCAACAAAGGTTGCTAAGGATTTGTAAGGGATTTGGGGTGCTGACAGCTGAAGATAAATTTTCGTAGTTCAACACTGACTTTCCAATACATAAACCCCCTTTCCCTGAAACATAGTCTCCCTTATAGGTAGTGCTGGTAGCAGCTTTAAGTCTGTGATTTGCTTAAAGTCCTAACTGTAGATCTTCAAGAAGCAGCTACCATATGCCTATGTTAGGTGCTGGGAGACAGATGTTTTTGAGAAGGATGTGTCCTCTAGCCCCAAACATGAGGGCCCTCTGGGACACTCCTTACTCAAGTGACTGGCCTGGGCCTCCAGCATGGCAGCATGGCCCATGGTGGCTAGGATTTCCCATCCCTGCCCTTGTTTCCAGAAGCCAGGCCTGCTGAGAACTAAAAGACAGGCTCACTCATGATCAAACTCTTCAAAGTTTGGGAATACGTGGGGTCATGGACTTATGCTGCTTTAATGCTGAACCCTTAGAATCGATTGATCCTTTTACTTTTTAAACATTGGAGAAAGATGGGAGAAATGAGTCTTGTTGATAGCACTTGTTTCAAAGCCCAAGGGTGAGAGAGATCCTGGTTTGGTCACTGTCCTGGGAACAAGGTTTGTCTATTTCCAATGAGTGTGAAGGACTCTTGGCTCTCAGAGAAAGTATCAACAACTTGGGTAAGAGGGCCATTTTTGGTTAGGCTGTCAGGACAAGGACGTGGTCTTAGGATGCTATGGAAGGAATCTGGTGATCTACCAGCAAACAGACGACCGGGCTGGAGGTGGAAGCAAACGTGTAACAGATCCTCCTGTTCCAACCTTCCCTCCTTGCTGGCGCCTCAGGCAGCCGGTAACTTTCCCAGAACTGCTGTAATCCCTTCCTAAGAGGCTCCCTGCCTCCAGCTTTGCCCTGCCAAGGTTATTTTTTGGAAACACAAATGTGAACAAGATATTCCCCAGCTTAAAATCTTTCAAAAGCTCTGTGTTGCCTTCTAGAGTCTTCTAGAATCTAAACGAATGCTGAACTCCTTACATGGCCTGACAGGTCCATCAAAACTTCGCATCTGCCTACCAAACAAAACAAAGCTCCAAGTTCCAGGACCCAGCTAACCTAGCTCGCTAACTTTCTCAGCTTCTTTGCATGCAGTGGTCCATTTCAGGGAAACTCTCCCACCCCAACCCACTCAGGGCTCCTATTCATTCTTCGTTCTTCAGACTAAATACCACCTCGAAGAAGCCTTTCCTGAGAGAAGTTACTCCTTTAACATCAAGTGAGGTGTCTCGTTAGTGCCTGCAGCATCTCTTAGCTTGAACAGGCTGTTAGAACTATTTGAAAATTTCCTCTCCTCTGTGACACAGCCTTGCTCTAGGGGCCTCGCTCAGTGCCTCGTGAGCAGTAGCTCCTTCGTAATTCTTAGCTGCATGAATGATGTCCTTAAAGAGTTGTCTCTGAAATGTTGTATTATCCCCTTATGTGGAAAGAACACTTAAAAAATAAAAAAAAAAAAATCTCTTCAAAACTAAATTGGGAATATGAAAGTAACTGAGAAACATCCTTACTACAGAGTTTCTCCAGAATTCGGGAAGGCAAACCTAGAAATACACACTAAGTGATAAGTGGCTTAGCCATTATGGCTGGTTGTATTGGTGGCTTTCAGGGAGGAGGGAGCAAATGCACTCCACGGGAAGGCTAGTGGGTCTTCTGTGACCCATGGGTTACCATGACCATCTGAAGTACATCTTACAGTTTGGACTAACAGCAAGAAGCAATAATAGTGGCTGGCCCAGCTGGTGCCCCGTGGAGTATTGGAGAAGGCTGGGGCTTCCTTGGCCAAGTCTAGGAAGAGTCTTATTTTCAATTCTTTTGTTTTTCAGCTTTACTGAGGTATAATGGACATACAATAAAGTGCATCTGTTTAGACATCCAATCTGATTGGTTTTTACATACGGATATGCTCATGAAATCAAGGTAATGAACATATCTATCACTCCAGAAGTCTCCTGTTTGTAAGCCCTCGCTCTTCCCCCACCTTCATCTCCAGGTGAACAGTGCTCTGCTTTCTGTCATATAGATAAGTTTGCGTTTTCTAGAGTTTTATCAAAACGGCATTGTAAGGAATGCATTCTTTTGTAGTCTGGGTTCTTAGCGTCATTGTTCTAAGACTCCAGTGTTGTGGCCTGCCTGAGTACTTCCTTATTGCTATGTGTGAATTCTACTGTGTGGATATGCCACACATTTTTTTTTTTTTTAAGATTTTATTTATTTATCTGACAGAGATCACAAATAGGCAGAGAGGCAGGCAGAGAGAGAGGAGGAAGCAGGGTCCCTGCCGAACAGAGAGCCGATGTGGGGCTCCATCCCAGGACCTTGGGATCATGACCTGAGCCAAAGGCAGAGGCTTTAACCCACTGAGCCACCCAGGCGCCCCTGTGCCACACATTTTTAATCCATTCACCTGTTGCTGGGCCTTGGCGCTGTTTTCAGTTTTTGGCTAACGTGACCAACGCTGCTGTGAATACCCACGCACAAGTTTTTGTGTGGACATACATTTTCGACCCTCTGGGGTATCTGCCTAGGAATGGAGTCACTGGCTCCAGCAGTAACTCTGACTAACATTTTGAGGACCTGCCTGACTGTTTTCCAGGGCGGCTGCCCCGTCTCTCACTTCCCATCAACAGTGGAGCAGTTCCAGTTCCTTCTCTTCACCAGTACTTGGTCTGTTCAGTCTTTTTATCAGAGCCATTCTAGGAGGTGGGAAGAGCTTGGATTTTTATCTCAGAGATGATAGTCAATTAACAATATAAAGGTGAGGATTGATGTGCCCAGGAATGCTGGCTGCTTGGGAAATACTTGAACTGCAGGAAATAGGAGGCCAGATCTGGGTCTGCACAGTGACCACACTGGGGCACTGAGTGGTCACGGGTAAGCCACTCTGTCAATAGTGACCACAATACACATTCAGCCTGCTAACGGGAAAGGGAGGGGGCGAATCCATCATTTGATTGCTCAGTTTTAGAAAGGGAAACTGGGACAGAATGAGGGCATTAAGGGGGAGAAATGAAAGGGATTGTTTAAAAAAGTTACAGCCCATAGAAAGCCTGGAGCCTATTTCTTTTTCAAACTGCTTTATTGGAAGCCCGTGATAAATGCATGGCACAAATCCCAAAGAACAGCCACTTGAAAAATAAGCCCTGCATGGTTTACTGACATATCAAAGAGGCCATTGTGAGGAAAAGGGCATCTTTAAAAATAAATAAATATTAAGCAGGAGAGGATACCCAAGCCCAGGGAATAAGGAGACCTTAAAACAGAGAAGTAAAAAAAAAAAAAAAAAAAAAGTGGCAGCCAAGAATCAAGTGGCATTAAAAATTTTTGAGGAATACCAGCAAAAACTGTCAAAGGAACTCTAGCTTATTTAAGTATGTGTGGCGGGACATGGGGCGGGGGGCGGCGGTGATACAGGAAGTCAGTTTGACACTCCAGGGGCATCAGTTCATTCATGCGCAGAAAGTGTCCTGAGGGATGAACAATCAATGACTCTGTGACATCTTTGCCTCCATCACACAATTTCTCTTTCCTTCAAAATGAACAACCACAACTTCCTATCATGGAAAATTTCAAATGTTAAATAAAACAAACAGAAGAGCCAAACAGACGACCATATACCAACCACCGAGCTTCCCCAGTCACCAGCATTCTGCCTTTCTTGTGGTTGTTGTATTTTCTTTTACAATATTATCTATTTATTTGAGAGAGAGAACACGCAAGCATGAGGGAGAGGGAGAGAATCCAAAGCAGACTCTGCGCTGAGCACGGACCCAATGTGGGACTCGATCCCACAGCTGGGAGATCTGGAAGATCTGAGCCATAACCAAGAATCAGACACTTAACTGACAGACGCCCCTGCTGTCTTGTATCTATCCCTATACCCACTCCCTGCTCACCCCTTAGTTATTTTTTTTAAAGTCAGGCTTATTGAGATCAAGTCCCACATCAGGCTCCACACTCAGTGGGGAGTCTGCATGAGATTGTCTTCCTCTGCACCCCCTCCAAATAAATAAAATCTTAAAAAAAAATTTAAAAGTCAGGCTTATGAGGTATAATTTACATGCAATTACAATTCATCCTTTATATGGGTACAGTGCTGAGTTTTGATACACATATAGTTGGGTATCCCATATAATCATATTATCCTATATTATGTGGGTGGCCATGGTGCATTTGGAAGGGTCCTTATAAGGAAGGAGGGAGACAGGAGAGGTAGAGATGGAGATGTGATGGCAGAAGCAGAGGGCGGGAGAGAGAGATTTGACCAGGAGTGCTGGCCACGTGGAAAACACTTGAACACCTGCAGGAAATAGTAGACTGAACTTAGGTCTGCACAGCAACCACACTGCCACAGAGAACGAATGGAAGCTTGCCATAACCTCAGAAAGATCTCGCATGCTGCCCTGTTGTGGTTGATACCACAGCAACTGCTGTTTTGGTCTAGTTTTGCCTTTTCCAGAACACTAGATAAATAAATGGGACCATTTATCTAATGTTTTCTGTCTGGCTTCTTTTGCTCAGCATCATGTTCTGAGATTTGCCCAGTTCATTCCCTTTTGTTGTTGAGTACTGTTCCATTTAGGAGGATGTACTGCAGTTGGTTTAGTCACCTTGATTTTTTTTTTTTTTTTAAGTAAACTCTATGTCCAACGTGGGGCTTGAATTCATGATACAGAGATCGAGAGTCTCATGTTCTACCAACAGCCAGGCACCCCAGTCATCTTGATTTTTTTTTTTTATGCAGGCATTTTTGGGTAAAATTGAAATACACAAATCTTATCTCCATCTTTTTTTCTTTTCTAAGATTTATTTATTTTGGGGGGTGTCTGGGTGGCTCAGTTGGTTAAATGTCTGCCTTCAGCTCAGGGTCCTGGGATCAAGACCCACTTCAGGGTCTCTGCTCAGTGGGGAGTCTGCTTCTCTCTCTCCCACTGCCCCTCCCCCCTGCTCGTTCTCTCTCTCTCTCTCTTTCTGTCTCAAATGAACATATGAAATCTTAAAAAAATGAAAGATTTATTTATTTATCTTTAGAGAGAGACAGAGATGTGATGGAGAGAGGGGCTGAGGAAGAGGGAGAGAAAATCCACAAATATACTCCCCACTGAGCATGAAGCCTGACATGGGGCCGGATCCCAGGGCCCCTGAGATCGTGACCTGAGGCTAAATCAAGAGTCATTGCTCAACTGACTGAATCACCAAAGGCGCCCCAACTTTGCCCATTTTTTGTTTGTCTTTTTTCTTACTAAATGGTGGGAGTTCTTCACATATCCTAGATATAAGTCCTTTGTCAGTAATACTTTTATTAATATTACTATTACCAGTAATAAAATTTTGTGAATATTTTCTCACTGTGGCTTGGCTATCCATTTTTTTTAACTTTTTTCTTTTTTTTTTTAAAGTAAACTCTACCCCCCAATATGGGGCTTGAACTCAAAACCCTGAGATCTAGAGTTGCTTACCTACTAAGCCAGCCAGGCACCCTATGACCCCATGGCTATCCATTTTCTGATGAACAGAATTTTAAAATTCTGATGAAGTCTTATTTATCATATTTTTCTTTTATTGTTACTGCTTTCTGGGTCCTATTCAGAAATCTTTGCTTAACCTCAGGCCCTGGAAATATTCCCTGTGATTTCTTCTAAATATTTTATGGTTTTAACATTTACATTTAGCATTATGACCCATCTTGAATTAATTGTTGTAGATAGTATCAGATAGGTGTCAAGGCTCATTATTTTTCCTGCAAATATCCACTTGTTCCACTATTAGTTGAAATATTTTCCTTTTCATTGAAATCAGTTGATTGTATTAAGTGTGAGTCAATTTCTGGACTCTATTCTGTATAATTTCATGTCTATCCTGATGAAAATCAGTCTTGCTTACTATAGCTTTAGGGTGTCAGATAAGTCCCCCAGCATTTTTCTTTTTCAAGATTTTGTTGTCATTTTATATTCTATGTAAATTTTAGAATCAGGGGATACCTGAGTGGCTCAGTTGGTTGAACATCTGCTTTTGGCTCAGGTTGTGATCCCAGGGTCCTGGGATCAAGCCCCACATCAGGCTCCCTGCTTGACAGGGAGCCTGCTTCTCCTTTGCTTGCCGCTCGCCCTTGCTTGTGCGTGTGCGCTCTCTCTCTCCCTGAAAAATAAATAAAATCTTTAAAAAAAAAATTTAGGGACATCTGGTTGGCTCAATCAGTTAAGTGTCTGCCTTTGGCTCAGGTCATGATTCCAGGGTCCTTCAATCGAGCCCCACATCAGGCTCTTTGCTCAGCAGAAAGCCTGCTTCTCCCTCTTCCTACTTCCTCTGCTTGTGTTCCCTCTCTTGCCATGTCTGTCTCTGTCAAATAATTAAATAAAATCTTTAAAAAAATTTTTTTAGAATCAGTTTATCAATTTCTAATAACAACAACAAAAACTGTTCTCCATGATTTTGATTGGGATTGTTTCTACTATATGGATCAGTTTGGGGAGAAGTGACTTATTAACGTTGTCAAGCCTCTCAATCCATTCATATGATATATGTCACCATTTATTTAGATCTCCTTCAATCTCTCTTAACAAAATTTTGTAATTTTCTAGAAAAAGATTTTATTTATTTATTTATTTGAAAGAGAGAGCTCGCATGAGCATGAGCAGGGGGAGTAGCAGAGGGGGAAAGAATCTTAGGCATACTCCCCACTGAGCACAGAGCCAGACAGACACAGGGCTTGATCTTAAGACCCTGAGATGATGACTTGAGCCAAAAACAAGGGTCAGATGTTTAACTGACTGAGCCACCCAGGTGGCCCCCAAATTTTATAATTTTTTAGGGCAAAGTCTTTTGTTAAATTTATTTCTGAGTCTTTTTGTGATTTTTTGTTAAAGATTATTCATTTAT